AAGCTGCTGAATTTCTACCTCCTAGTGCTAACAGTGAGGGCAGGAAATGTGGGAGGAAGTAGTGTCGGAGAAGGTAACACATCCAAGGTATCCATGGTGCCACTGTTTAACATGGAAAGATTTATGTCCCAAGTCAGCTTCAGAGATGAATAAATTATGGGAAAGTAGTCATTAATAAAAAAAAAGAAAAATGCTAGGACTTTAACAAATATGTCAACAAGCATTCACAGACTATTAAAAAAAAAATTTAATTTGCATGCCAGTTTTAAGAGGTTAAAAGTCCTTCGCCATTTGAATGTGTGAAAAGTCACAGTATATGAATCTATACTGAGAGAAAAAAAAAAGCAACATCAAAACCAGAGAGGACAACAAAAAGTAGAATTACTTACATGTTACCTTGTACAGTTTCTGATCTATCCCTTAACAGTAAATCAATAGGTGACAAAACATGAAAGCAAAAAGCCTTTCCTGCTTCTTTTAATAATGTGGGGGTACTAATTAAAGAGTTAACTTTCTGATAGCAAGAAATTGGACAGGCATCAAACCAATTTATTCTTCATTAATAATTTCTGGCTCAAATAGTGATGGGGAGGGGGAAATCCAAATGCATGAATATCACTAATCAGTGCAAAAATGCCACAAATACAGCTACTGAACACAGTACGCTTTCCATACTATTTGCAGTCACATGACAAATAATGCAACTCTGAACCAGAAAAGAATCTGGGGAAGCTGATCAGGGCACATATCTTTGCTTTTCCCTTGGGGCATTTGGGCAAGACAAAGGCGAGCTGCTGTTCTAAGAAGCAATGTCAACTTTTTTTAAATCTAATTTATCATCCAGGATAAGAAAATCACAGGGCTTTGCAACTACCTTTGTGTGTTTCTGTAGCAACAACTCTGCATGCACAAGTAATTCCACCCAAAGGATGCCATGTACCTGTGTTGTGTCCCAAACTGCGAAGGGCAGTCAGATACCACGGCAAATATCACTTTACACATAAGCAATTTGTCAAATGAGATTTAATCCCCATGCTTCCCTCACCTGCAGTGCCATAGAAAACAAGAATCAACTCCAGTACTGAGAACAGCATTTTTCATGACTTCAATAGCATTAAATTGAAAAAAAAACCCCAACAAAACACAACAACAACCAACCCATTCAACAGTTCTGTTGGGTCATTACATGAGGTGATAATACTGTTGCGGAGTTTTTTGCCCTGTCTGTTGAAAAGGAGTGAGCTATGACTTGATCAATACTCTCCATGCAGCTTCCCCACAGCTGGGTTGCCCCGGCCATGAATTGGATTCGTAGCAGAGCAAAATGCCTCCTTAGCCAGTAAACATCTGTTCACTGATGCACTTGGGTTTTCTATTTGCAGAAAATAGCTCACACGCTGGTTTTGTACTTTACTTGCTTTTTTTTTTCCTGCTGCAAACTGCTGGTGGCTTCCACTTATACAAAACATTCTCAAGATGTTTGTCACAGCTTGCCTTTCACTTAAAAATCCATGGGAATATTACAAGCTATGAAACCACTAGTTTTTATGATTGCCAACCCTTTAGGTATTCTTCAGTCCTCTGCTCTGCAATTTAACTTGTAATAGTGTTCACTCTCACTGTAACCCTTTGGGATCCTGTTTTTGCCACTACAAGCCCTCCTGTCCCTGCTCATCTACAGAAAAAAATCCCTCAGCATCAACTACATGAATGCACCCTCTGATCTGAGCAACCACCAGCCACATACAAAGATACACAAAATTAAAAGCATTTTATACTCATTTATGAGACTTCAACGAGTTCATTCCAGTAGAATTTCTACTCCTTGACTGAGGACATAAATCCACGACTTTATCAGTGAGAGCAATCAGCAACAGATAGCACTATTGACCAATGTATATAATAAATCAGATCTCTATGAGAGACCACACAGATCACAGGTCAGTTGTCAGATTACCCTGGTTTTTAGATTGTTGGCCAGACATCAAAAAAGACATTAAAAAAACAGAGCAGTGCAGACCAGCGTGAAATGATCTGGATTAAAAGCGAAGGACTGTTGATCAGTGTGTTTTTACACAATATCCAAGAACATCACAGGACAAGATATTTCATAAAAAGGGGCAAGTGGAAAAAAATATAAAAAGAGCAACAATGGAGCACTCTTAAGATGCACTGGATTTTTCAATGAAACAAAAAACAGGCAGATGAGAAGAGCAAAAATAACCAAAAGGAGCCTCAAAGACACTGTCAGGAAGATCAGCACAGGCCAAGTTCTAAAGCAGTCAACATGTTAAGGAGGGTGGGTGCTGACTCTTGACTGGAAAGAACTTGGAGTACAAAACACAGTGTTCTCCTGTAAAAATACATATATTTTCTGAAGGCAAGACTTTTTTCTTGGTTTTCTAGAAAGAAGGAAGCTGAAAAAACTAATAAAAGATTTTCCTCCAAGCAGGTCAGCACTTACAAACAGAACAGTATATCCTGAGCCAGTTTCTGCAATGTACATTTAATTTACACTTTGCTTTTGAAGGAAGGCTCTCCATCAAAACTGACCTCCTGTTCAGTATCCTTGATTAGTACTTTTGAGTTCATTAAATCTGCCCTTGAATAGTATCTTCTAGTTCTTAACTTCTATGGACAGTGTGATGATACTGGTAATTAGGAGCATTTCCTTCACCACGTGAAACAGTAAAGTGTGAGATTCAAACCAGCATGGAACCAGGACACACTTTGATACATTTGCTTCCAACAAGTTTTAAGTTACTGAAAGAGAAAGTTTCTAGTTTGTAATACAAATCCACACCACAAGTTAAACTATTGTTAAAGCTTGCTTAGGTTGGCAAACTCCTGTTTAAGCCAAACGGCTACAAAAAAGTCTTCACAAAAAGATGTTTGGGTCTAACTTCATTTAAATTAGTAGTAAAATTACCCATTTATCCACTTTAACTAACCTGGCTTCATACTAACTGAACTAAAACTCCATTTTATGAACAAATCCTACAAGGAGCTACATGATCTTACTACAGCAGTATTTGCCTTCGCTTATTGCTCAAATGATGTCATCAGCTTTAGACATGGAAAACTTCTAGCAACTTACTTGGCTCTTGTTTTTGATAAAAACAGATTTAGAACAGCAGAACTGTGCCACTCAGCTGTTTCTTCCTTCTTTGCTGTAAATTTGGCAGTGAAAATGAACGCAACACCAGAACAGGAGCACCAGTGAACAGTGTGAGTGACACAGCTGAGTCTGGACACAGTTGTGGTAACAGGAAGAGAGAAGCACAGCATTCCATAAGCAGGAATTAGGTGCTGTACTGTGCAGACTTAAGGCAGAGACACACACCCCCCAATACAGAATATTCACATGTGGTCTCTGTACCCAAGCCCACATCACTGTGGCTGCTCAGTGCCGAGCTCAAACATCCAACACCAAATCACCCCCAAGTCACCTACACAACCCCTTGGGCAATTCTCACACAACACACAAAAGACCCTTGTCTCTCCTCAACCTCTCCAAGCTCTTCCTTATGGGACTATTTTCTCTCCCATCTATGCCCTTTGTGTTTTTACAAATTCACTGTTTTTCCACCACATTAATAATACACAAAAAGATGATGAACCTTCTTGAATCACCACAATCACATGGTTTTAGTCAGAAAGGTTTTCAAAGTATTACAGAAATTAAACTCTTCCCAGGGGTTTTTAGCAAAGAGCAGACAACAAATGAAGTTACCAGGCAATGGGCCAACAACCAAACCTGAATACTTCAGCCCTCCCAATATGGATTAAAATGAAATTCCTGCCTCTATATAAAAGCAACTGTATAAAAACTGAAGCCCAGTTAAAAGCACATGAAAGCAGCATATTGGAATCACTTAAATTAATAATAAATACTTCAGGGCCCTCTAGTGGTTTCATCTCTGGTACAAGAAAATTCATGAAGAATGGTTTTTGAAATAAGGCTACTGAAGTGTACTGCAATATTGTGTTTTATTTTTGTCACTCTCCTGTAATTAAGAACATTTAGGCTGGAAAGCTGCCTAGGAAATTACCAGAAAGGCAAAAAAATATACAATCTAATATATGTTCACAGAATCAGATAATGGGTAGTATTTTTGGTTCTTTGTAAAAATGAGAAGTTACTCAAAAACATTTTCAACTGTGTACAACCAGGAGAAAAAAGATACAACCACTCTCCCAAACCTGCATCACAATGATTACTGAAATGTCAAGCTCTGAGCTAGCTCAAACCTGCATGGTTTAAAAAAAAAGTGGAAAATTGATATTTTCTCACAAAAATTGCATCTGCAAGATTTCAGAAGCCTACACCACATGTTCAGAGGATTGCTTCATTCTTCATCTATCACCCTATCACTTACGTCCTCTTCTGGCTTTATTACATGGTAAAACCGTTACAGAAAACAGGTAACAAATTTCCCATTGAAACACACAAAGACAACTCAAAATGTAAGTATATAATCAGTCACAACAGTCCCAAGTCTGTAACCAAGTTCAAGATAGTGTAATAGGAGAAACAGAATGAAATACCAGTTGCAAAGGTTTTCTGTACCTATCTACATTAATAGAAACAAAGAGAAAAAAATAGAAAAAAAAAAAACAGAAAAAAACTACGACAAACAGGAAAAAAAGCCACATAACACCTTTTTCAGGTCCCAAAGGTAAGTGCATGAGCTTGAAAATTATTCCAACAGATCTTACGATCAGGAGTGTGGTAGCAAGACTATCTAAATGACCCCATTTAGGCATATGAATCTTTCTCAAGCCAGAGAGAGAAGCCACAAATTTAAGTACAAATTCAAGAATAAGTGGGAGTTGGGAGGTTTTTAACCCAGCAGCAAACTACAGCCATTCTGAAATGGGCCTCTACAGAACTACACATCCATACCTGCTTCTGGATCTAAACTCCATCAGTAGCTGTGCTGTATCTAAAAAATATAAAGTAAAAAAGTCCCAAACAACAAAATCCCCACAGAACTTACCTCATGGAGGTTATACTGCTGATGAGCTTTTCAGATTGATCTGACAACCTGGATGGAAGAATTATTTCAACTGGCTGCAGGCGCAAAACTCGACTCTCCAATTCTGAGCGAGAAGCAGAGTCCCGAAAACAGTCAAAAATTACTTCTCCGGTAGTTGGTTGGATCGCCTGTCAAATAAAAATAAATACACATATATAACCAATGGATATTTTCATTTCAGGGAGTGCTTTAGTGACTCGAATTGTTAAGCCAGAACGAAAATCTATGGTGTACAGCACAAAACTGTACAGCACCCACACACACTGTGAACATGGCAGATAAAAAAACATAATTGTGTTTTTATCAAATCTGTAGTATGGCAGTAACTTCAAAGGACTGTCATGACTTTGTCTTGGTAAGTGGCAGCAACACCTTAAAAATATAAATGTGCTCTTGTTGTCGTCAATCCACCACTGTGCAACTTTTCATACAATTCAACTCTATGTAATTGAAGTCTATGAAAGCAACATGTAATTCAGCCTGGAATCTAAATGTGCTTTTGTTGTTCTCTCCCATCTGCAGTGTGACATTCAAACACAAGCGCAATCAAGATGCTTTTAAATTAATTAGTTACCAGCTGACCAGGCTTCAGTTATCACCGTGTTTTGCTGGTTAAACAATCGTGGTTTTAATCTTCACCATAAAAGAGGATACAAATCTGAAGTGTAAATGGGAAAATACTCTAAGTCTTTTCCTCTAAAGAATAGTATTTTATAAAGGAAAAAAGTGCTCACAGTCTTTAAAATACTGACTCAAAAATGTTTAAAGTTAGTAAAGCATCGGAACTGATGATTTCCCTGTATTTGGTTAAAATATGTTTTCAAGTGAAACAACAGCAAATACAGCTTCACAAATAATCATCTATCAACTCCTTTTCTGATGTAAAGACATCACAGTTCACATATTGATGATATCCTACCTAAACTGCCTCTTTTTTGAAAAAAAAATAGGAAAAATAATTAAAAAAAATCAATTCCCCACACAAAATAATATATACAAGACAGATCACGACTTTTAAGAAGGTAATCACCCACCTTGCAAAATCAACAAAACCACCCCCCACAAACCCTAAAATACTGATTCCCCTGTGAAACTAACTTACCATAATGCCTATAACAATGTCACCTTTCTTCCTGCCCCTTAGGTTTTCCCCATTTTCACAGCAACAGAGGAGGTAGTTATCAGGGACATCTGTTGTTACCTCTTCAACATCTACAGAATCATCCAGCTTCAGCAAAGGGTTCACATGTAACAAGTGTTAAAAAAAAATAGTACAGAGATTTGTGTGGATTGTTCACATGTTCCTTCTGGATCTAAGTCCTTCTCTACTCACAGGCACTAATTTAAAAAATCTTTTTAGCTCCTGGTATCTGGTAAGTTAGTTCAAGAAATTTAAGAAAAATGAGGTAGATAAGGTAGGAGATTGGAAAACAAAAAACGGAAGGGAAGAAACTAAAGTTATTGATTAAAAGCTGTTTCTATCTCATTTTTGCATTTTCTAGGCAGGACCTGCAGAACACTGCAGACTTGGGAAGTCCTCTCTCTGCCTTCAGAAAGCAACTACAGTAAACATAAGCTCTGCTGTTTCACAACAAACCTACAGCCCTGAGGAGATTAAATTCTTTGAAAAGCCAGCCAGATGTTTTAACACAACATAAAATTAAAAGAATTTTGTTTCCTGCTGCCACTCACTACTCGCGTTCCATCCAGGTGATAAAACTGGAATCAAGGCCTCTCACACACCAAGGGTTAGATCTGAAACCAAACTTGTTTGAAAAGGATATCTTCTCCAATAAGTGTGGACTTAGTGTAGAGGGCAGTCAGCTTACGGCTGAAGAGAGAGCTTTTGTTTTCTCCAGCAGCTTTCAGCGCTGCAGTTTCCATTTGTTTTATTACTCCAACCTACAGGCAGACAAACAAGAAACAAAGTTAGATCTCTGATAATAAGTTATTATTTTTATTATTCCATATAATTGAAGATATTTTTAGATGTGCAAAGAGCAAATGCATGATTCAAGCTCAAGTGCATCATCAGCAGAAAGGGCAGAGGCAAACATCAATCCTACTAATGAGAAAGGCACTCCTTTTCCTGACCCTTTGTCTACTCCTAACTGCCCTCTCAGCTTCTGCCCCTGTGCTTCTTGTCCTATTTTGAAACAGCTAAGCTACAGTTCACTGCTTATCAAAGAATGGTTGCTGCAATCAATTTAGATTCAGCATATGCTGTGATCCTGTGACGTTCTTTTCCTAAAACCAGAAAAAGAGGTATCAACAGAAAGCCATAGAATTACAGGGATCAAGGAGAGGAAGGAAAAAAAATGGGCTGTGATAAAGAAAACAAGCATGTGAGGAAAAATAAAAGAGAGGATACATAAATTTCTCTTTATCAGATGCAAAGACTTGATAAAGAAATACTGAGAGGAAAAATTGTTCCAGAACTGTTTCTGAAAACATGAAGATACTTTTCTGTGAAACAGAGGAAGCCTGAATCTGCTTAAGGCTCCTGACACCTCCCAGAGCAGAGGAATTGAAACAAAGGACATTTTAATTGCAGAAGCAGGTGATAATGAGCTACCCACTTCTCAGCTGAAATATGACCCTGGTTACAACAGGTGTGAGTTATTTCAGTGCTATTCTGTACTCAACAGGATTTAATAAAGGTCAAAGACGACCTTGTGTCCCTTCGCCACAAGGCGCCGCACGTGGACGAACAGCCGGTGGCTTGGAATGCTGGCAGTCATAAAGTTGTGATCCAGGTGGCAATAGATGTTCAGTTCTCTAGCTGCAATCTGCAAAGTACAAGAAAAGTCAGCCAACAGGTTAGAAAGTAATTCAGGAGGGTAAGGAGCTTATCTCTATGACAACAGTGATGCACAGCTACAGTTAAAATCTCAGTGTCAACGGGAAACCATTCCAGGAGAAAGCCTGGAGGGACTGGGCCCCTCCACCTACCTGTCCTGGCATTGCCACAAAGCAGGGCCTTCCCTATCACAGACTTCACCTGTCAGATTTTTAGGGAGCATTTTGATCTTCACCACTGTGAGCCAAACCACATATGCTGCAAATACAGGGTCTGAAACACAGCTCAACAGATGGTCAAATAATTTTTGCACTCCTAAAAACAACAGGAATGGAGGTATTTAATTTCTGGTTAAAAACATGGAATTAAGCTGGCTAACCAATTAAAATACTGAAAAATCAATATCAAAGAGTAGTAGAAACTGAATACTTAATAAAAAAGAGTAACAACACCTACTGAAATGTGACATTATCAAGTGTGATTCGTATTTGACTTTCTGCCCTTTAGTTGTTCACTGACTAAACAATGTGTGTTGAGCAGGAACTGCAGCCAAACACTGACCTGTCTCTCAGGACCACGTATTTCTATTTCTGGACTATGAGTACACCAGCAAATGAGTAGACAAATTATACAGCCCAAATTTCATGGGGAAAATTAATTCCCAGTAACTAAGCAACATTTCTCACTGGTCTCGAGTGTGGAAATAGTACCAATCAAAGGTTGGTAGTAAAGACTTTGGGATACATCACAAAAAAAAAACCAAAACAACATTATGAACCATTAATGAACCATCACTTCAAAATTATGTATGTTATCAAGTCCTTTTTCCCATTCCTACAGATCTGGCATGTGTAGGTGTCACATCTGAACATGCATTCAAGATACCCTCTCCCTCCACACTATACTTGCTATGTTCAGCTCTTTTACACCACTCTTTCCACTGTCTTCCAAACTGAAATACTCCTGGAAGAGTTTCAAGCCAATTCACCTCTGAGAGTTTTACCACTTTAGCTCTGACAAGTAATTATTCTGGGAACTCACCTTAAATTCTCAACATGCAAGACAGCAAGCACTACCATCCAATTACAAAATAATAAAGCCTATTTTGGCAAAAAGTTTAAGCATGCAGAGATTTTTTTCATCTTGATTTCAAGTACTAGAAAAACCCACAAAGAAGTCTCCCTTCTGGAAGTGGTCATAGACCAAGCAGGACATCAGCACAATGCAACAATCTTTTCATAACCCTGGCAAATATTACCTCTGCATCTTCTCCAAAGAAGCGGTATTTGTATCCACATTCCACACACAAAACAGCATCTTTATACTGTTTCTTCATTTCTATGAACTGAAGTTCTAATGGAGTGTAAATGCTTTTGGTTCTTTTATTAAGATTTGTATCCAAAGCATTCTGAGTATTTTCATGGGATTTATGAGATGCAGAAAACTGACTCAGATCACATTGTACCTCCTCCTGTAAATAAAGGATGGAAAAGTATAGTTAAGAATCATCAAACAAATCAACTGCCCCCATATACCTTGGTTTGCACTGACCACAGAGCTAATGACTCTTTTTGCAGTAATTAGCCCCAAGAGCGGCAGCAAAACTATTAAAGTAGGATATACAAAACACAGTTTATTTTGGAATTAAAAGGAATTAAAAAGCCATGAAAGTCACAGTTAGTTGACTTGCTTTAAAACAATCCTTAGACACCTCAGGTGAAATCATATGCCTATTGTATCATAAGTTCTCAAAACACAGATCAAGAGCCATGCAGGCCGCAAAGACTGGGCAGTCTAAACTGCCCAGATATTAAAATAACCACTTCAGTTTACAGTAAGAAACTCCAATGTAGACAGATTAATGATGTTCCAAAAATACAGAAATAAAACAATTTGAGCCTCGGTTCACTGTCTCAACCACCAAAACTGCATTTATTCTCTAGTCTGCCCTTACTACATAAGTTCAAGAAACCTCCCAAAATAATTTACACACAAAAAATCTATACTACAATTTCTAAAATCCTTATCATGTAAGACTTTGAGCAGCCCAGTCTCTCTGCAATTTACCTTTCACAATGACATTATGCAGCTATTTTTGCCAAGCAACTTCAGCTCTACAACTTGCCCATGTTCTGTGTAGTCAGCAAGATGATGGGTTCAGTCTTTCATAAGCACAGTGAACAACAGTGATAAGGCGTATTTCACTTACAGCAAAGTTCTTCTTCACTCAGATCACAATATCAAGTACCAATAACATTGGCTAAAAAAAACCACTAACACAACACCCTCCACAGGTTTTTAAAGCCTATGATCACGCAAAACACAATTCATCAGGCTGTGCTGCAAAATTCTGTATCTGCAAATAAATAAATCCATTAGACTTTCATCTCTAGCAAGCGCCCCATCCAGATGACAAGCAACCAAGTGAACAGACTGTTTTGCAGCCATGATAACTCAGAATAAACACCAATATGGCTTAAATCATATACTCTGGGTCATAGGAATGTACAAAGAGTGCAGTCAGAGAACAACCAGGGAAAAAAGAACATTTAACTCTAACTGCAAAGTTCCCACAACTGGACACCATCCAGCAAGACAGCACAGCCCAGGACAAATAAAGCTGCACCAGAATTCGGGTGGCCCCAGGAACTCAGATGTCTCTGCTGCAAAATCCTCAGCCCAAGCACTCAGCAGTCCTCAACCCAAGGTCTGTCCCAGCCCAGCAGGAAGACCTTGTCTCACTTCAGGGGAAACTGTAGTGACAACAACATGAAAAAAGGTTATGAAAGGAAGTAAAAAAGGTAAAAACAGAGAGAGAACTTGAATTATTGGGATGGTTGTAAGTTAGCAGCTTGAGGGATTTAGAGGAAAATCACACACATAAAAAGGTTAAAACTGCAGGAAAAAAGCAAGATACAAACATCTAAGACTAGCTGTTCCAAGATGGCAGGCCAGCCCTGGAATCAGTTTTCTCTGTTCTCCAAGGGACTACACCTACATAACCTCAATCCCTTATCACAACAGAAATCTCTTGCCACAAGCTGTTCACTTCAGCATTTTGAGCTCACACTGACACAAAGCAGACACCCCCAGTTTAAGTTCATGAGCTTCAGGCAGGGTTAAAATAACTGTACAACCTTCTGTACAACCTCCTTCTCTGAAAGAGTCAGATGTAAAACTTCACTAAAAAGCAGTTCCCACAATAAGCCAGGAGACACCTTTTAGGACCTGACACCTAAAACAACGAATTAACTAAAGTTAATTAGATCCATAATTCAAGAAAAGGCAAAGTACTATTACTCTTACAAAGTACTATTACCTCACTCTTATTGACTTGCATCATACATATAACAATGATAATTTTTCATGCGAGCTACCCGTATCTTCTGTAGATGAAAAAGCAGTGGTATCTTTTTAGTTAGATTTACCAGCTACTGGATTGAGCTACATCTCAGCAATACTACTAAATAATATTTATGTAAGGAAAGACTGGTAGAAATTCGACGGCCCACATCAAACTTGGTAGAATTGAAAGAAAGATAAACAAAGTAACCACACTCAACATCTGTTATTACGATATTACAGCTTCACTCACAGTCACAAGACACACTGCCAGTGTCTCTGTTCTCATTACTGCTGTTTTTCAGTGGTATTACTGAAGAGCTAAAGACGCATCCTATTCACTACGAGAAGAGCTTCAGGAAAGCAGGGTCTGTTGGGTTCTGCTGCACTATTTCATGACAGAACACAAAAACACAAAGGGAAGCTTCTGGCAAAACTTGCTTTTTTAAACCACGACAAGCAATCTACACACCACAGACCACAGCTCTGCATACCTTCTGAGCAACCTTTGGCTCAGTATCCCAAGATGGAAGAGGGTTCTTCAGTTCTGAACTTCTCCCAGTAATACTGGGGCGTTTTTCCAAACTCTCAGACTCTTTCTCCTGAAAACCATCCTCCTGGACTCTGGTACACTGCTGGTCTGAATCACTGCAGAATTCTCTCAGTCTGTCTAGAGTTTGCAAACATATACGGGGCTTTTCATGCTTTTGAGGTTCTTCTTCAGTAAAAATACACAACAAACACATTAGCAACTTATTTACTAAAGTAGAACGTCTATTAGAATAACAACAGTAAGCACAGGACACAATCATTTTGCTCCATCTCTCTACATTCCTTCTCCCCTCCCATTGCAATAGTTCTGCCAGGCTGACAGAGTCATGCATGGAACCAGCTTGATTAACTCCCTGGAAAATCAGTATTCGTCACTTGTGTGCTTGGTCATACATGGGAAAAAACGCAAAACTATTTTCTAGGCTGGTAACTACAAAGCCACTAATTTAGCCAAAATATTGGAAATCAAGTAGAATTTTTGTTGGTCCAGTTTTTAGCAGTATTGCTACTTGGTGGTGTCTTAGTGGTACTTCAAATCATTGCACCCACAAAACTGAATATAGTTCCCACTTCAAAAACTTAGGAGGCCAATTCTTTTAAATGAAGTGCAATGAACTTTACATACACCCATTTGCTTTTGTACCGGCATTATTTTGTCAAACTCTTGGTTCAAAGTCAGATGGAAGTCAGGCATTTTCAAGACAATGGAGTGGCTGTTGTTTCCCAGGTGAGAGCACTGCATTTGGACTATTTACTGTGGGGTAGCCTTTGGGTACACCAGTTACAGACCAGGCTCTACAGAGCTCTCAGGTGTCAGTTGTGCTTCAGAACAAGACTGTTAAACCCACAAAGGAAGGAAAGTTGCACCATTTCTGCCTGAACATCTGGACTTCACTGACTGAACAACCTGTTAAAGTTGAGTCAGCTGAAGGGAATTTGCAGAATAATTCTGGAGCAAGGCTCAAATTCCTAGCTCCTGTGTCACAGTAAGGTTCTTGAACAGTCCAGGAGTATGGTCATTATGGCTCTTCAGAGTTGTATCTTACACTTAAGAGACACTTCCTGAAGTACCCGCCAAAACACTTTTTTCACATTTGACAATGAAAAACTATTTAGTGGCTGTCAGTGCTTGGAGGTTTGTTTACAGTCAACTCACTTTTATGCTGAGTCTTCAGTGGGTTACAGATATCTTCTACAGTGATTTGTGCCCTGGGCTTCTTTTCACAGGGTTCATTGCCTTCAGTTGATGTGCTCCTTTTTGTGCCACATTCAGAAGCCTGAAACGTAAATTACACAAGGAAGTTCAGTTCCTTTTTCTCTTTGCCATCCTCTATGAAAGACAATAATGCAACCAAGCATTTCACAAAGATATAATGCAAAATTATTGAATAACCCATCCCTGGAAGTGTCCAAGGTCAGGTTTGACAGGGCTTGGAGCAACCTGGTCCACTGGGAGGTGTCCCTGCCCATGATGGGGTATGGAAGGAGGACCCTTCCAACCAAACCCTTCTGGGATTCTATGGAAATAACATGGAAAGGAAACATCTGCAGCTATTGTGGCTTCCAAAGGCCAAAGCTACTTCTGTGGCAGAGAACTGAATCAGCATTTAACAGACTTTCCCACAACACCACAGCCACCACCTGTGCCTGAACCAGAGCTCTTCTGCAAATCCTCACTCCCACAGTCCAAAGCTCTCTCCTTGTCAGACACTGGCTGTTCAACCCCAGGAGACACCATTCTCTATGGACTGAATCCCAGTGATGATGGGATCACCACCATCCTGCAAGTGGCAATCCAGGCTTAAAAAGGTTTTCCTAAACTACCTGTAAGCACCTGGGTTTGTATCAAATATGTCACCTTTAACCACTGCTCCTTAGATCTCACGTGCACTTTGAACACTATGTAAACAAAAAATTCGTCCATTTATGCTATTTCATCCCTGATCTATTGCTTAACAGCATGCAAGAAGTTTGACTAAATATAAAGAAGTAACTTACAGTTCCAACAACATATAAATACTTTACAGATAAGCACACAGCAGATGCTTTCAGCAGCCTGCAGCCACATTTCATATGGTAATCTCAGACCGTTTAATTGGGGTATTTCAATTTCCTTACAACTAAGGAGGAGCTCCACCCCCACCAATTAAGTTCATAACCTCTACATAACCTATCCATATGTAATGGTAAATGGCCAGACTCTTCGTGAACGAAGAACCGGGGAAGGTCTTTCCACCTTCCAGCCTGCGCATTGGATTTTTTAGGTGAGACACAGTGTGCGCAGAACTGAGCCCACCCTTTAATCCTGAGGTTCATCTGCCGGGGCCAAGCGAGCTTGGACGGTGGCAGCGAGGTCCTCAGGACGTAGATGGATTGCCTTACAGGGCTAGTGAGCTCCATCTGCCCGGGGAGTGTCCTAACCGGGAATCGAACCCAGATCTCAGCGTTGACAACGCTGTGGTTTAGCCACTGCACCATCCACTGTTAAATACCAGCAAATTAACACAAATTAGGAAGCTTTCTCTGCAGGGGCAGAAATCTGCAATCACACCTTTAAAAATGCATTTGGACCAAAGGTAACCAAAAAAGCTGCCTTGAGACACAGGTGGAAAAAGCAAATGACCATCCCAGGCTAGAAGGGACTGGAAACTTTAACTACAGGGAGACCGGAAAACATAAACTCAGAATGAAAACCGGTTGCTAAGAAACAGCAATTTTTAACAAGTGGTGACAAAAAAGAGGCTGTTTAAACATTGTAGGCTCTTTTGGCCTTGCACCCAACAGCAGACACACCCGGAGTCGCCTGAGCTCCATCACCTGGGCTATGAGCTCAGCCTGCTGCATGCCAGTTATCCACAAAATCCGATTTGTCATCTGGTGTGCAACAAGCCAATAATTACACACCTGAGAGACACTGAATATTTATTTCAGAACTACACAGGCCGTCAGCTCTCAGTGTGTTCCACAAACCCACCACAGCAGCTGGACCTTCTGTGCCATCATTTATACACAGGAATCCAGAGTTAGAGACTTGCCAAGCACAGCCCCTCTATCAGGATTGATTAGTCATTTCCATACAAGTTACACAACTCCAGCCAATTTCTACAGGTGCTCAGGGGAAGGCTCTGCACCCGGGCTGCTTGTTTTTTTATCTGTAGGTGGAGGGTTTAGTAGTACAATGAACACAGTTCAGCCACAGGATACGCAAACCTTGAGTATTTTGCCAATCAGCAACGTGTACACAGGCACACATCAACATCTTCATTTCTCCCTGAATGCTTGTTGATTCTAGGGCGTCCTTCCCTAAGGAATGCAGCTGCTGCCTGTCCCACTGACCAGATATCTTTCCTTGTTGATCAGGAAACAATACAAAGATCAAACATCAAAGAACATCCTGACTTAAGATAACCTCGACATATTCCACATTTTGCAACACCACAAGGCACAACCTGTGCCAGGGGTTCAATATGGGAGCAAAGCCCCAGTGACATGGCTCAGCACCCCGGCTCTGCCCAGCTCACCAAACCTGTGCTGAGCTCCAGTTCCTGCAAAATGAGATATCCTGGATCATAGAATGGTTGGGGTAGGAAGGGACCTCTGGAGATCACCCAGCCCAACCCCTGCCCAGTCAGGGTCATCTGGAGCAGGCGACACAGCGACTTGTCCAGGTGGTTTTGGGGTGCCTTCAGACAAGGAGACTCCACACCCTCCCTGGGCAGCTGTCCCAGGCTCTGCCACCTCCATGGAAAGAAGTTATGCCTCAGGTTGAGGCGGAACTTGTTGTGTTTCAGTTTATGGCCTTTGCTCCTTGTCCTGTCACTGGACAGCACTGGACAGTCTGGGACCATCCTCTGACATTCCCTGGGTATATCTGTGTGGATTGATGGGATGCCCTCTCAGTCTTCTCCTCTCCAGACTAACCAGGCCCAGCTCCTGCAATCTCTGCTCATGAGGGAGATGCTCCAGACCCCTTATTACCTCTATGGTCTCTGCTGGACCCTCTCCTTTTCCCCGTCTAAGGATGCCCTCAGGTGCCCGGTACCGCTGCCCCGGGTCACGCAGGTGCTGCGGTCGGTCCCTCGCCTGCGGCAGCCCTGTCCCGCCCGCCCGCCCGTCCCTCCCTGCCCTGCCCGGTCACCGTGCTCCGGTCGGAGCCGCTCTCGCCGCCAGTCCCCGCCGCGCCGAAGAACCTGCTAAGCACCAGCTGCCTCCCGGCACCTCCACGCTCCCGCCGCCGCCCCCTCGGCACCATGGCCCGGCCGGGCCCGGCACCGCCTCCTGCCGGATGGGGCCGCTCCGCCCGCCCCCGTCCAGCCAGCCCGCCCCGGCGCTGCTCCGGTCGACCCTCACAGCGCGGCCATGGCGCGCTCGCTCAACTCCATCGTGGCCGTGAGCCAGAACATGGGCATCGGCAAGGACGGGCGGCTGCCCTGGCCGCCCCTCAGGTACGGCCGCGCCGCGGCCAGGCGGGAGTGAGGACGGGCGGACGGACTACAGCTCCCGGCGTGCTCCGCGCCACACCACCGCCACCAGGCGCTGCGGGGCTGCGCGGGGTGCGCCGGGAGTTGTAGTCGCTGGGGGCGATGCTCGGCGAGGCGGGAAAGCGTCGGCAATGGCGGGATGGCGATGTAGGGGTTTCGGATGGGTGCACCCTCACGTCATGGCGTGGGTTGTCCCTCCTGAAACCGAGGACAAGGTCCCTCCTCGGCCATGGCGTCGGCCCAGGCTCCGTCTAGCTACTCCTTCCCGGGCACCAGCAGCAGCCGCTTTATATTTTTTTGTTGTTGTTTGTTTGTTTGTTTGTTTTTTAATTAGAGAAATTGCAAAAAAATATTAGAAATTGGAGACCTCATTCTTAAACCACATTGTAACGATCTTCGTGTTTTCTCCCCAGGAATGAGTACAAGTACTTCCAGAGAATGACTAGCACCTCTCATGTGGAAGGTAATGTGGAGCTGTGTGAAGTGTCAGGCACGGAAAACCGGGGATTTTACATTTCCCAGGATTACCAGCCTTATTTCTGCACACAGCCTGCCTTCCCAAGCCTTCCCTGTACTTCACCCCTTGGGAAATCGTTCGGGATAGATGAAGAAATGCAGTGATTCAGATGTTTTGAGGGTGCAGGTGATCTTTTAATAAAAAGGATTCCTAAGTCCTATTTCCCCAAGAGTAGAAAACTTCACCTGAAGTTTACCTAACACGTCTTTCCCTGAAACTCCATGTTAAAAATGGAAAGGTTTTCACATGCTGATTAACTAGCAGAGACGGGTTTTTCTGTTCAGGCTGTTTTAGCTTATCTAACTTGTTTGCTGTAGCTCAGCCTTGGTCATTTGTTCCAAGCCTCTGACCCTTCTGACTGTAGTTTTGCTTGGTTTTCTGAGTGCTGAACCATCCCCATTGCCAGAAAACCGTAACCCTCCTGATAATACACAGCAGCAATACTGCAAACATTTCCCAACATGGTCGCTCTTTCCTTTTTTTTTTTTTTTTTTTTTTTTTTAAGCTCCTGGTCAGCCTAATGTGTTCCCTTGTTTGATTAGGTGACCTATTCCATTTTCTGATGTAAAGGTCTGTTCCATAATCCATAAGGAAAGTCTAATCTCATTTTTCAACAGTGTTAAGGGAGGATTTTATTTGTGTTTTGGAGACCTCATTCATCCCATTGCAACTTTAAATGTACAAAAAAAAAAAAAGAACACAATTATAAGTCTTTTTAGATGTCTGCAAGTTGAATCTTACCTGGCACAAATAACCTGTGATCAAAAACAAAATGTTTAAAATACAATGAAAAAGAAAAATTTTTCACCATTCTGCCTGCAGATCTTTTGATAAGCTGTGACCTTAGACGTTAGGCAGGTAAATTGCTTCATAACCAGACTTCTTAATGGATTATGCTGCCATAAATCTTCGTAGCAGGGATGTCACCATTGACTCTCAACGTCTGTGTTTATTTTTCTGACAACTCCATTTCCTTACAAAAAGAGAAACCTTTCTCTTCTTAGGAATGTGTATATAAGAGGTAATCTTATAAAAAGACGTGTGTATATGAGGTTATGAATGCTTGGGTTGGTCAGAAATTATATTTATGGGTGAATTTTTAGAATATGATTGAACACCTGATGCACTTCAGCTTTAGATTTAATTTTGCTGGTTCTTCTAAAAAATGAGTTTGGGTCTGCATGAGAGTACTTTGGTGTCAGCTGACACCACTGCTTTGAGGCCACAAACATGTGGCTGGTTAGTGAACCAGGGCCTAAGCTTGGGCTTTTGTTAAACTGCTGTTGTGGAGTTTGGAAGGGGAAGGGAAAGTCCAGCATTGTCATCAAAGAGTAAATTTAATTAAATGTTTCCTCTCGTACTCAGGTAAACAGAATGCATTGATAATGGGTAAAAAGACTTGGTTCTCTATTCCTGAGAAGAACCGTCCTTTGAAAGACAGAATTAATATTGTGCTCAGCAGGGAGCTCAAGTAAGTATAAGAATAATAGGGCTGTGAAAGCAATAAAAGTTCTGCACCTAAAATTACCTGTAGCAAATCAACATACAGTAATTCCAAATGTATCATTTCTGATATTTGGTTAGAAAGAATTTCTGCTCTTGGTTTTGAGTATTATAACTACTTTACCTCTATTTTTTTAATTAATTTACAAGTAATTGTAATTTCTTTGCATCATAAGTACAACTTCTAGTTCTACTCACAGACCATTTGACAGTATTGTCAATAGTTTTTCTGACTCATATATTCAGCTGCAGTTCTCTAGTTCCTGCTTAGATTGGTGACCCTTAATCCCTTTTTTGAAGCTTATTTTTACAAGGATTTGTGAATGAACTGCCCTTTTTCGGAGCTCTCATCTTGAATGCATCACCCACGGTCACCCAAATATATTAAACAAAACTGTCCACTTAGAGTGGTTTATTGTTTTGGATGATGTTGGTGGGTTTGCTGATCATGTGGGTGGGCAGTGGGTGGGCGGAGGGGCTTTTCAATACTTTTATTGAATGAAATATTAATGTTTTAGAATTCAGGTAAAAATCGGTAATTTCTATATTATCTGTATTTAATTTATAGATTATTTATATTACAGGTATGTAAATTTCTCCATTATGCTTTTTCAAAAACATGTTATAAAATTTCAGATCTATAATTTATAATGCCTCTTAAGTTACGATGAAGATGAGATCTCATAAACAATCCTGTAGTCAGATGAGAATTCTAACGTAGACTGGCAATAAGAGGCATTTCAAAACAATTACATTTAGTTATCTGTGAATTCAGCAAAACGCATTGTGTGTCTAGGTTGTATTGATGATCACAATTAATTGCCCTCTATTTATTTAGTGATAAAAGTTTGCCTTTTTCCAGGGAAGCCCCTAAAGGAGCACATTATCTTTCCAAAAGTCTGGATGATGCTTTAGCTCTTTTGGATTCACCAGAGCTAAAAAGTAAAGTAGACATGGTTTGGATTGTTGGAGGCACTTCAGTTTACAAGGTACGTTTGGCCTACTCCTGAATTATTTGTTCTCTCTGATAGGATGAGGATGGCTCAAGTCCCTGTTAGTTCTGCATTAGGAAGTGCAAACTGGAGTGATTCTAACAGAGCAAGTCTTGGAAAGTGAGATTTCAGCTCTCGAGTTTAAAATGCCTGCCCAAGTAACCAAATGTTGGTCTTGCCAGTGGGCCACTGCCATACAGTTGCTGTGCTTTTGAGAGCTTTATTTAAAATACCAAAATTGCTCGTTTTTTCAGCCCAAACCCTGACTGCCATGTTTATTTTACTGAGGTTGCTGACTGACTCTGCAAAGGATATGAAAAAAACAGTCCAGCATTTTTAGGCAGTGTGATCCTTTTTGCATGTATACAGGTGAGAAAATAGAGTTTAGAGAGAGCTGCCAGGTGATAGTGTCAGCAATAAGAGGAGATAATCATATGACAAGAGGCTGTACTCACTC